AGAGCAGTGATTCCTGGGCGCGATCCTTCATTCTTGCTCCTGGAGAGATTGGTCACCTGTAAAAGCCTATAAGATACGTATTAGTTATGAGAGAGAACTTAGATCAAGTACCAAGATCGGCAGGACCGCTGTCACAACACTGTTGCAATTCGCCCCATTGGGGACTTGCAACGCAAGGGAACCACCGCATATGCCCTGCCTTCGTACGAGAGCTAGTGCGCAAGATAGATCGTTGTCTCTCGCTAGCTCCAAGGGGCCATCGTCGTCCTCAACTTGGTCGAGACGAGGTGTCTAAACCAATGGTGGTATTGCGAGTGGCGTGGGTGCCATCAGCGGCCGCGTCACTGCAGAGACTCGATTCGCTGGCCGCAGACGAGACCCGTGCGTTCTGTGGCCTCGTTCAACTGCAACGTGGGCGATGGTGTAGTATGTTTGCCGTGGGTTTTTAATCGCAGTGCAAAGGGTAGCGTATACAAACTACGAGTCGGCACGGCTTTGGACGCGATTCAAGTTGTCGTTAAAAGCAAGCGCCTTGCCCATCGACCTTCGTCGTCGTGCGCTGCCAATTGGTTTGCACTTTCCAACTTGCTTTGCCCCGACGACGACTCGATGGGGCGCAAGAAGAGCCAACGCAACAACCCCAAGAAGCGTGCGATTCCGGATGGCCGTTCGGAGAAGGGCCAGCCAACGCCGAACGGCCAGCAAAAACAGAAATCCGATTTTGCGATGTCAACGAGCCCGACGTCGACCAGCGCCCCGACGGCCTCCACGACCTCGTCGCCGCCCACTGCCTCGTCGCCGCCCACTGACGCCGCCATGCCGCCAGCCGCTGCCCCGTCTCCGCCCGCTGACGCCGCCATGCCGCCAGCCGCTGTCCCAGCCCCGGTGTTCAGCGTCATGGACGGTGTCATCACGCGCAAAGGCCTTGAGGCAGCTGCCAAAGTCTACCTCGCGCAAGATGAAGACGCGCCCGAGCTTCTCATTGCGCGCAATGTTCCTCTTGTGCGTTGGCTCAAGCACGGCTTGGACAACCGTCTCTTCAACGTCATTTGGAGCTGCCGGTTTAAGGGCGACGCAGCAGACCCGACGACGCTGGCGTCCGTCTACATTGTCCGTGCGATTGGAAAGCCGCATCAGCGTGGAGTCGACGAGCTCAAGGAATTGATCACTCCTCAGAGAGGAAACCATTTGATGGTTCGTACGGGCTTCGACCTTATTCTGCCTGAACAGACGCGAGTGCCCGACTTGGCCGTCTTCCAGAAGTTTCGCGACAGCCGGTGCACCGAACCGTGCATGGTCGTGGAGCTCGAGCAGAACAACCGCAGCTTTCCGCGCTCCGTTCGGTGGCTGGTCGAGTACTTTCGACTGATTCCATCTCTTCGGACCGCGGTTGGCATCAAGATCTTTGGCCCGCAGCGTGGCAACGCGCGCCAGTTTGGCGCCATCGTCGTCATGTTGAGCCGCGCGGCTGGGCATGCACCGCAGCTTGTGCACGTGGCCAGCATCGGCACGGCGCCACTGACACGCCAAGCTATGCCCAGCATCGTTCGCGTGATTGGACAAGACGCTGCGAATGCGATGCCACACTTTGAAGCCAACATTGCTCACGAGGTCGCGCAGGGGCACCTCGAGTGGCAGCTCGATCCGGTCGCCCGCCCCGTGCTGCACATTACGATCGCAGACCTGCTCTACTTGGACGACGCCAACCTCCTCGCAGGCGCGCCGCCAACGATCGAGCACCTTGAGATCGATCTCTACAAGGTCGTCTTTGCGGTACAAGAAGCCATGCAACCAACAGTGCGAGCGGTTCAGCCTGTTGCTGTGATGGCGGCGGAGCCTGGGACATTGCCCGGGATGTTGGCGACGTACTGGGACCAGCCTATGAACGAGGATGAGGACGCGGATGAGGACGAGGATGAGGACGAAGACGAGGATGAGGACTATTGACAAAACAAATGGGTGCGTGTAGCTTCAACTCGTAACCTAATCCAACTCGTTCCGAAGGCGTTCGGGCTTTTTCCACGGCGTTGGCCCTCGCACGCTCATGTTGCGCATGCTCATTTACGATGTCGTGCCCCATCGATGCCCGCACCGATGCGTACGGTGGATGTGATGTTGCCGCTAGCCATCGGTCGCTGTTTCAAGATATACCCCCAACCAAAGCAGTGGCATCGCGCTGCATTGGAACACAAACGATAAGAGGTGAGCGCCTGCGTATGGCTGCTGCAATTCTCGATATACATGTGCTCTCCTCAGCTTTGACAGCCAGCGCGAAATGTCGAGAAGGCAGAATGTCATTGGCGTGTGCTTACGCTGGCATGCACAGTGCCGACCGAACGCGGTCCGGCGACGACTCGACAAACGCCATCTACGCTGCCACGTCATGTCGAGAATGGAAAACGCGGCGCCTACCATAGCCTCGAGACGCTGCATGTCGACATTGGTCGTCGACGCAAAGTGCACTCGCGCGGCATTCGCACGGGCTACGATGCAATCGTGGTGCGGCAGTCTGTATCAAGGTATCAAGAGTATGTATCAAGATGGCAGGTGGCTACTACGTACGCCAACGGCGGGGCAAACTTATTGTGGTGCGAGAGACCATACATGTAGCGGAACGTCTGCAGCAGCCGTTTGATTTCGAGCCGCGGCACCTACACAACCACGCGTCATCGTACCTTGAGAGTATATTGATACAAAAAGTGTACATTCCGTCGTCGGAGGCCCACGAGGTTGATTCCTGTGAGCTTGGCTCGATTCCCAAACGCTAGCCTATACCGACACCCATGCGAATCAACATTCAACATTCACCGTAGCCACGAGGTGGTACGTAGTAGACATACCCAAACGGGAGCACATCGCCGTCGACAGCGCTTTGGCCACCAATCATGGCGAGCCTACGAATGACGCTGCGTGACGCTCTGCGCGTCATTGCACACCGCACGTACGAGCCAATGTGCACAAACTGCTTGATCCCGACTTGGCCGCCGACGATCGCGAAATCGTCGATGCGCACGTGGCCGGCGAGACAGACGGCGTTCGAGAGCACGACGCCGTTGCCGACGCAGCTGTCGTGGCCAATGTGCGACGACGCGAGGATCCAGCAGCCGTCGCCGACCCGCGTCGTTCCGTCGTTCGTGCCCGTGTTGATGGTCACGTGCTCGCTACCATGGCTGCCTGCAGACACGTGGGATGGAGAAGCGACGCGCCTACCGAATGATGCACGAGTGGCCAATCTCCAGCGACGAGAGACCGCGCACGTGCTTCTTGTCCTATCCTCCATGCATCGTCGAAACATAAGATCGTAGTCGCTGGATGAGGATGTTTTAATACCTGTGGCGTCCCGCCAATGGACGCAAACGGATGGATGACGGTGTGTGCTCCAATGCGCGTGCGCCCGTCAATGACGACGTGGGCCTTGACGACAACGTGCTCGAGCAACTCAACATCTATCGCTCGCGTGGGCGGCGCTCGCGTCGTCTAAGAGACGTACCGGGGCCAATGACGCAGAATGGGCCGATCTCGACGCCGGCGCCGAGACGCGCATGCGGATGCACGACCGCTGTCGCATGGATGGTCCTAAGTATGGAGCGTGCAGGTTTTGACGAGTGGTGTACAGCGTCGTACGCTGGTTCGAGCGGCGCGTCTGCGTACGTTGGCAGGGGTGGCAGCGTGAGAGGCGCCTTGAGGGCTAGCAGCCGCTCGTGGCAGCCGTCGGCAGACGCTGGCGCCTAGGACAGGCGTGAGCGAACGCGCGCGCCGACGAGTCAGTTGGCCTACGTGGGCGTAGGCGGCGACATGTGCGTGCGACTAGACAGAGGTGAGCCCAACGGCTGCGGCAGGCGGCGATGCGTACCGCGTAGGCGCGGCCCGCGAGCCGTTGAAGCGGCCGCAGCATTCCGGTCCTGCGGATGATCTCGCGAAACTCTATGCGTCGACTGATTGGCCTAACCGCCATTGTACGCCATATGCATTTTCACAGGTCAGCTCACACGAACGCTAAATACACCCAACCATTCCATGCTACTTGGGTGCGCGGGCCTGGTGGCCAGACAATGCTGGCGCTGTGTTGCGCCGCAGCACGACCGGTAGTAAGGCGACTGCTTCGAACCGCTGGGTATAGCATGCTTGCGTGGGCAGAGCATGGTTGGTGGCGATGCATCGATCACGAGGCTGCGATGTAAAGGTTCTCTGCTCGGTGCTCGGTGCTCGGCGCTGGGTGCTGCATGCGATGCGCCCATGCTGGTCTCTGCTGACGCGAGCCCGCGTGTACGTAGATGCCAAGACGCAACGCAGCACTGTCAGACATACATGGGTCGTTGGCAGAGCACCTGTAGGCTAAGCCATCGTCGCAAACTTGCTGTCTACACAGGATCGATCGTCCACGACGACGCGATGAGCATGCATGGTGCAATGGTCATGTACGTACGGAGACGCTCGGCGTAGAGCTGCAACTGATCGACCATGTCTTCGAGCTCAGTGAGCTCTTCGTCGACGTCGTCAATGCTCTGCATGTGGCCCGCGAGGACCTTTTCTACTCGATCGACGTACAGAAAGCAGGACGCCAGCAGGAGGCAAGTACCATTCTGCTTCATCTGCGCCGCAAACTGGACGATCGAGGCGCTCTCGGCCTTCATGCGATCGTACTTGTCACAGAGCTTCTGGAGCACGTTGTCGAGCAGCTGCATGCGCTCCATTGAGCCTACGCGCCTCGTTCGCCACCGGCGTCCATGGCATACGCCTACCTTGGAGCTCCATGCCCACGTACACGGCAACGTTCTCGCTCAAGTAGCGCGCGAGCTCGCGGACGTCGTCGGGGCTCGCCATGCTGGTCGTGTCGTTGTCGTTGAGGCCACCAAAGTGATGGTGGTGCCCCGGGGTACCCCGTTCAAAGTACCAGTAGGGGGTGGGGGCCAAAGACAGTGTACGCGTGTGTCACGCGTCTGGGCAACGGGGATCGTAAACCAAACAAACATCAGTACAGTGCGTTGCGCTGGCGCTTGGGACGAAGCACTGGCCACTGCCCGAGCGTGTGCGACGCCTCGTGGGTCGAGCCAGCGGTTGCACGCTTGCCGCCAAAAATAATTATTTTTCGTCCATCGACCTCCTATTAATACCCTTGCGTGGGGCTGCCGGCGGCCATGTACCAAGGGTACTCGTCGATGCGCAGAGACGACGGCGCCTGATGACGTGCATGCATGGTTGTACGTAGTACTTGGGTGCGCTAGTCCGAACCGTGGTGTGCTGAACTGAGAAACACATCGCGATTCTTCCCGGAACGCGAAACATGACTCCACGAGGGACCTCTTCAAAAAAAGAAGGGGTCCCATAAAAACATAAATACTATGTTTTAATCTATACGCACGTTTTGTATACAATCGCGTGCAACCTATTAAACTATCGTGCCCCTTCGATTTTCGAAGCTCAGTGGTGGTACCAATATGAATATGTGCAAGGTGGGTCTGCTTTATTTTCGCACCAGCGTGGACCTGCGCCGAGATGACGGACGACGTGACCAAGATGACCACGTACGTCGTGATCCTCAGCATCTCGCTGCTGACGTCTGTCGTGACCATCTTCGCGGCCTTCGAGGCCCGCTACACGCGCAACTCGGCGGTCCAGTTTGTCACGTACTCGATCTTTTTCAGCGACAGCTTCTGGCACGGCTTCCGCCTCGTGCTCTACGCGATTGGCCTTGGGTATGGCCGCGTGCCATCGACGAATGCGGGCGAGCGCACGTACACAGACTCGAACCGCGTGATCACAGGCCTCGTCACGATCGGCGGCGACCTCTTCATGGTGCTCACGTCCGCGTTTATGGTGCTCTCCGCGTACGAGATGCGCCGGCTCGTGACCAAGGCCATTAGCCGCTCTGAGCTCCGCGAGCGCCAGCAAATCACCTACTACAAGCGCGCGGTCTACGTGCCCTTCTTTGCGTGCGTTGCCGTCTACGTGGGCTGCGTCCTGTCGGGCGACGACAGCGCGGTCGAGCGCGTGCTGCGCCTTAGCACGTACCTCATCACGGCCGGCGCGACCGTCGCGATGCTGTACTTGCTCTACACGATCGTGCAAATCTACCTGCTCAACCGCAAGCGCCATGGCTTTATCGACTCGGCCGCCGACCACATTGCGTACCGCATCAAGGTGCTCCTGACAGTGTACACGCTCACGATTCTACCGGCGCTCATTGTGACGTGGGGCTACGAGCTCGCGGTGCAGATGGGCGTCGAAGAGCCGTTTGGCGCGTCCGGCGGCGAGATCTTTTTCGTGACCAACAGCATCTACTACACGGGCGGCTTCTTCAACGCGTTCAGCATGGGCGGTAGCGTCCTCTGCTGCATCCGCATCTTGCGCCCCGTGCTGCCGCGCGAGATGCACGAGCAGCTCCTGCAATCGGGCAACCGACACAGCGACCTCGAGTCGGGCGACGAGCACGACCCGACGCAGCCGCCCGTCTTCGAGCCCGTTTTTGTCAACACGGACATTGAGAGCTCGACGTATCTCTGGTCCCGGAATCCGAATGCGATGACCGAAGCCCAGTCGCTCCACGATGGTACGATTGCTCTCGACGCAATTTACGTCAAAAATGGAGGACCCTTGACGACTCTGTATAGACTGCATTCGGCAACACGTCGCAAGCTACAATGGCTACGAGATCACGACGGCCGGCGACGCGTTTGAGCTCGCCTTCCACAACGTCTCGGACGCGGTCTCGTGGTGCATCCGCGTCCAGAAAGCACTCATGGCGCTCCCGTGGCCAAAAGAGCTCGAAGAGTACCGCAGTGCCAAGTCGGTCACGGATATCTTTGGGCGGCTCATCTTTCGCGGGCTGCGGGTGCGCATGGCGGTCCACCTTGGCGACGGCGAGATGATCCAGAGCATCCACCCCACCACTGGCAAGATGACGTACTCGGGCCTGAACGAACTCGTGGCGCGCGAGGTGGGCGACGCAGGCCTCGGCGGCCAAATCCTCATCTCCAACGTGACCAGAGAGCGCTACATGGCCGAGCACGATGTGGTCCGAGCGAACGGCAAGAAGCCGGCCAAGTCCAAGACGCACATGAACTTGTTTAAAGATTTCTTCTTCCGGGACGCGCCGAGCTGCCACATCGCCGACCTCAACCTCGTCGTACCCATGAGCGAGGTCGTCCCGTATGTGCTCAAGACGCGCTTCACGCCGGATCGGACGAGCAACATGCACTTTTTCATGGGCAATGGCCACCCCTGACGACGTTGTGGTGTCTGTTGCATTGTAACTATTTATCTCGTACTATATCATTTATGTCACTTCTGTAATCAAACCTTTATTTGATGGTAAAGCAAAAATGATCAAAGCTAGAATCGCTTGATACGTGGAACTAGGAAGGTAGGTACCCACACGCGGCTCGTATTAAGTACACTAGTTTTCGCGCCTTCGACCAACAACAACAGTTGGCGGTGGTGTCTGCTGGAGATGGCGGCGGCATTCAGCGCTGGCCCGTTTTGATGGGGCCCCGTAGCCACCAACCCACAATACACGTCCCGGCTAAAACTCGATTTATGTATCATGTGGCACACTAGAGGCGAGTGAGGCGGCGCAGCATGGCGGTCGGTGATACGGGTTGTCTACGGGGCGACTGTGAGCGGCTGAGCAGCAAGAGCACCGTTTCGAGCTGCTTGGCCATCGATTCCATCTGCTGCGTCATCGACTCCATTCGCTGCGACGTTGCCGCCGCGTCGTCGGCCATTGCTTCGCGGAGTGCGACTAGCTCGAGGCGAAGAGCTTCGTTCTCCTGCTCCACGCGCGTCGCATCGGCATCGGCGAGGCAAACACGCGACATCGTCGTCGAGATTTTATCAATCGACATGGCCAGGACCGCCTCCAACGTCGAACGCTGGTTGACTTGATAGAGCATCGCACACTTGTCGTGGTCACTCATCGGCTCGGCCTCACCACTGGTGCCCACCAGAAGTAGCAATTTGGCCTTGCTCGCCACCGAGTGCGCGAGCTTGTCGACGTGGTGAAGCACGAGGCACCGCATGTCATCACTCATCGGCTCTTTCGTGCCCTTGCGGTTCCAAACATCAAGGAGCTGGGATTGAAGCTCCCGCAGATCCTTGGATGTTCGCTTCTCGAGCTTGGCGAGGATCTCCTTCTTGAACTGGCCGCGGCTGCGTCGCGCCACCTCGATTGCACCCAACAGCTGCTGTTGAGCAGTCGCCAGCACGTCAAACTCACGCGCAAACACTTCGCGGACGTTGAGATCGGTAAAGTGACTGACGTGGTCCAGACCATCGACCACAAACCCGACCTGGTCCATGACGACCTTGTCCAGAGTTTGCATCTGGTCGAGCCAGGCCGCGCGACTGGCCCTGTTCGCTGCAGCGTCTCAGCTTGGTCTGGTGTCAGCACGAGGTTGGTGCGAGAAACACTCTCCGAAAAATGGGATGCAGCGTTCGCTTCCCACAAGTGTCCTTGACATGCGTGAGCGCAATCGTCTCGGCTTGGTTGAGGTGCATGGCGCCTTCGAGCCGCAAGATGCACTGTGCATAACTCATCAGCGCTCGTGTCTTGGCCTTCTCGAGACCCCCCGTGACGGTCTGGTTCATCAACGCCAGCAAGACGTTGAGTAGCACGACGACCACGATCGCCGAGTGCAGCATCATGAGAAGAGCGACACCCGTGTACATGGCGGTAGGACTCGAGCTCATATTGTCCTCCAAAGAGGGAGAAAAGACGCTGAGGGAGTCCAGAGGGACTTGGCCAAACGCTACAAAGTAGGTTGTCATGAACGACTGACCGAGACTACCAAAGGCGTCGTCGCCGTGGCCTCGAAAGAGCTGGTAGAACGTCAGCGTCAAGCCCAGTTGGAAGACGCCAAAGAGAATGAAAAAGTTCCAAATGTCGCTCAAGAGGTCCGACATCATGGGCAAGAGATAGCTGGCCGACGAAACCACTTCGAGGAACTGAAGAGACAAGACCCAGAGACCGAGCGTGAGGGTGGCGCCGAGTCCGACCTGAATGTCGTCACTGACTCGGATCCAGCCGACTTGGATTGGAACAAACAGACACAAGATGACGGCGTAGTTGATCAGCTGCACGCGGTTCATCGTCGACGCGAGGTAGTCGCTCATGTTGACGCGCATCTCTTGGAGCTCAATATGGATAAAGTAGAGCGTCGAGAGAGCCAAGACGACGTTGTTGATGGGTGTGAACCAGTCGGTGATCCGCAGCGCGTCACTGGAGTAGAGCACTGGTACGACGAGCAAGACGGTACCGATGACGGTGAGGAGGACGAGGCATCCATGAAATAGCGCCTTGGTGTCGCTGAACCGAGCATACGCCGCGAGCACTCGCGGCCGAAGGCACTGGACGACCACGAGTCCGACAGCCACAAAGATGAGCGTTGAAAGACCAATGGTGTAGACGATCGGCTGCGGCGTGATATCGTTGGAGAGTAGAGACGACGTTGTCATGGCCACCAGCAAGAGCAGGTTCATGAGCAGCTGCTGGAGGTAGAGACGTCGGCCAAAGAGCATCCACTTGATCTCGAGGACGCGGCGAAAAGCGGGATGCTCGAGGCACGCTTGCTGCGTCGCGAATGTCTCGTTGGGGTCTTGGAGGTCCAAGGTCAAGACCGCGCGCAGCGGACTGTCTTTGGTACTCTTGCCATAGATGAGGTCCAGCTACACGTGGTGAAAAACCGTTGAGCATCTCATGGCCAAGGCGAGAGGAGGAGACGAAGCGCACCTTGCTAAAGACGGCTTCGTGCCGACGCAAGTCGACGCAGTCGTCCAAGAACGTAGGGCCGAGCGACGCGTTGCAGCGGATGGCGCGCAGAAAGCTGTCATCTTTGAAGACGTCGTCGGTTGTCATTGTGATCATGCTCAGCGCGCGCTTGTTGCGAAACTCTTGCGAGTTGTCCCGAGCCCGTTCTTCCTTCTCAAGAAGCTCAAGGATCTGGCAGTGTTTGTCACTGATTTCGCCAGATACAACAGCGCGCAGTCTCTCGACGATGGGAATTCCGTCCTGGAGATTGGTTGCGGTTAGGTGAGGGTTCGGTTACAAAGAGCGATGATACCAGTTGGGATCGAGGTCGGCGCGGTGCACAAGCAGCAACTCGACGATGGCCAAATGGCCGTGAATGGCCGCATGAAGTAGTGCTGTGCAGTCGTTCTATCTTGGTCACTCATACGGTCTGTGCATTTGAGCAATGTGTACCGTGGCAACGAGGTCAACGTCAGCTTCTTGCTGCAACAGGTACTGGACGTGGGCCAAGCTGCCGACTTTTGCCGCTATCATAAGTGCACTGGTTCCGTCCTACAACATGACTTGTCCCCCACGGTTGCAGAGTGTAGGGTTTTTTACCGTCGACTGCGCATCCACATTCGATCGAAACTGAGAGAAGAGTGCTTCTAAAATGGACGTAGATAGTCCTTTTGCGATTGCGACGTGCAGCGGTGTCTTCTTGGCCTACATTCGAAGTCAAGTGTTTAGAATCAAGAAGCTAACATCGTCCACCTGAATGCACTGAAGCGCTTCGTCGACGTCGAGAAGTCGCACGAGATAGAACGCGGGGTAGGTTTGCTCCAGCAGCCAATTATCGCACAGCACGACCTCGCACAGACGTCCGTTTTCGCTTGCCTCGCTCCGATGCACTTGGACATCAGCCTATCAAAAATGCTCTTTGTACACAGTACGGACCATGCCATTGGGTTATTGTACCGCCGAGATGTCGGTCTGGAAGCCGTGATGGGCGCCAGCTTGAAGGAGTAGGCGCACGCATGCAGCGTGGTTGTTGCTGGTAGCGACATGCAGCGGGCGTCGAATCAGCTGCAATGGCGTCCATTCGTCCGCCTAACAAATATCGATCGAGTAGTATCCACATCTAATGACGTAGTCGGACTTACGGAGCACGTCTCAATACCAATCTCAATTTTGGACTGCTGCAAGAGCAGCGCCAAGATGCGGTCGTTGCCAAAGTAGCACGCATAATGCAACGCAGTATTCCCCTACGCGAGATCCTGCCACGTAAGACACACAGATGTTTTGTTTGTTTCGACGTGGGCATCTGCTTCGTTGATGGTGGCGATATCGCGCGACGCCTCGAGGCGTTGCTGCAGCTCGTCCCACTTTTTTCGGCTGCGAGTTTAGCCAGGAGCGTGTCGGCTGCCCACCGCGTCTCCAAGCAGGTACCGGCGCATGTCCGCGGGGGCGTCCCCGCGCGCGGCACAGCGGTCTACAAGCAACGACAACGTCATTATGACGCGTCACAGGGTGATGAGGGCTAGGGTACATTGCGGTGTAGTCGAGCGGTAGTTGCTTGTCGAGGTGTTTCAGCACTTGCAGCGTGGCGGTATTGGTGATGCCGTCGACGTTCTCCTTGCACACGAGATCCTTCTCCAAGAGCACCTCGACGACAGTGCGTCCACGCTATACATCGTCGTACGTCATCGTTGCGGCCATAAAGAAATGGACACCTTGTCTTGCAGCGCCAGAATTTGCTTTGTGCAGTGGGGCGAAAGAACGTCAGCGACTTGGATCGGCGCGTTGCTATCGAGCGCTTCCACCGCGTGCATCAGCACGGTCTTTCCGTCCTAAAATCACGTGGCCATCAGCTTTTTCCATCTCAAGCTCATGTCGACACCATGTCCTGAACCGAGAGCGCTGCTTCCACGGCCTGCCGCGTGTTCTCGGCCGTCGTCGAGATCTCCAACAGCCATTTCTGAATGCCACTGACGTCGTTGGCGCGGGCCATACAGTGCAGTGGGAACTGCAACCGAAAGGCACTTTCTTGATCCAGCCTTGCCCGCAGGTTGGGAGTTGGAGCGAGGTCGGCCGCGACCTTGCCATACTAAAGTGTAGCAGCGTACGGTAGTAATCGCACTAGTACATCCAAAGGAGATCCACCTTGTTTTTGATATCGAGCGACACGTTGCAGCAGAGACGGAGAAGACGGTCGAGATCGGCGTCGTGCTCGTCAAGCGCTAGGTCCCTGTGCATGACAAACGTGTGCACCACCGAGTTGCCTCCCTTCAAAAGAGGTTGACGCGCGACGGCGAGGCAGAGAGATGCGTACGGTATCCACGGCATTGGCGTCGGCGCCGGTGCGGAGGAGCATCGCGATCGCGTTGACGTTGCATTTGCGGCCAGCGGCGTGCAGCGGCGTCTCGTCTTTCTAGAGCCAGATTGTAGCTTGTTGGTTAAAGTAAAAACCTTGTTGCGCGCGTGGACAAAAGACGGGTTCTGCGCCAGCAGCCATGTGAGCACCGCCGTCGCGCGCTTGTGCACAGCGTAGTGTGCGATCGAATCGCCGTCAAACTCCCCTTTCATGTTCTACTCGTGTCGTTTAAAGCCATTTAGCCTTTGAACCCGTATCGCCACGCACCGCCGATGCGGTCAACAAGGCCGGACACGCTGCGACGAGGAGCTGGACCATATCCAGTCGGTGGTGTCCGATGGCAACGAACACCGGTCCCATCAATGCCTACCCAAATGTCGACGGCGATTCCACCTATCGAAGAATGCGTACCGCAGCGGTAGCATCCATCTCGGGTCGCGCCAGCACGAGCTTGACGACGTCGTCGTGTCCGTCAGCGACAGCACGGTTCAAAACAGTTTTGCCCTTCAAGTCCAATGTGTGTGCTACAGGAATAGACGTGTCTCACGGCAGCTCGCACCTCGAAGCGTGTCGTGAGCTCCTTGGCGTCGATGGTTGCTAGCTGCAGCCGCTTCCGCACGAGATCCTTTCTACCCTCGGAGAGTAACTGCGCCAAGCTCTTGGTCGCATCGACCGGATCGCTCATCGTGGAGAGAGTCTCCGCATCCGAGTCGTCGTGGTCCGTCTCGGAGAGGAGCGACGCGGCGCGGGCCTTTGCGTGCATCGTGGTTTATTGTGTTGAAAGTATGCGGTCGCAGAACCTTCTTGTTCCACTTGGAATAAATATGCGGACCGCATCCAAAGAAGCAACGCCGCTGCTGCCCCGCCTCGAGTCCGCAACTGCAAAGTGACATAGTTGTCCACATTGTTTCGGCTGTTTACACGTCATCCATGGGTTGACGGCTTTAAGAGTACCTTTCGTACCTCGCAAGGTCCCGTAGGAGACATGCGCTTCCACGCTGAAACGCCATGGCGCCCGTCTTCTCTTGTTCGAGTCGCCAAACCTTCGAGAGGATTTCTACGACAAAAAGCTTCTGGCTGCCCCATCACAGACACGTATGGTGGCCAAGCAGCTGAAGGCTCGTGCGGCGTCCTTGATCTCCGAGACGGACCACGAGTCGGACGGAGAGGCTGTGTTGCCACGCGGCGATCCGGCCGATGCGACCAAATCGCTGCCGCAACTCCTCCGTGAAGGCAAGACGGCGCTGGTTTTGCAGCGGCTACAAAAGGCTGTCGTCCCTTTGGACGAGCTCACTGCGATGCTTGATGTATGGAGAGCCACAATGAGTTTCCTACTAGGCATGTTTGTAGGGTGCGACAGTCTTGGGCATGGCCGCCCTTCTCGGACACGAAGACATCGTACACGTCGTTTTGGGCCGCCCAGAGGTCCACGACGTCCCCAAGGTACAACCTCTTCGACGTGCGAAAGACTTCAGCGCTTTGCGTCTAGTACATGATCATGGCGGCCTACGAAGCGATTGAAAAGAAGCAATTGCGCACGCTGCAACAATTGTGTGCGGCCAACCCGCACTGGATCCCATTACAGCACACACCGGTACGACGACAGCCACGCGCAGTGCGTCCGTACAGCAATGCCGTAGATGGCCGAAAACGTCTGTCCTATCCTGGTCCTTGCCGCCTATTACAGCGCTAACGCTGTACTCGCGTGGGCACTCCAGCAGCCGCTTCCGAGCGGTGCTATCAACGCAATCAGCCACGTACATTCGAACCTCCTTGAAGCTTGTGTGGGCAATATGCCAGCAACATTTGGTGTAGGAGGGGCAGACACCACTGCATTTCGCCACCCACCAGGCCAATCTTCGGGGCATGAAGTTGCTCTTGCGCGCCGGTGCCAACGTCCACGCCGTCGACGATGTACTATGCAATTGTATGGAATCCATGTGGCATGATAAGTTGTTGGTAGCTAGGCAGAACGGTGCTGCGGACGACGCTCTTGAGCTGTTACAGCCTCGACGCGGTCAAGCGTCAGATCGTCCTGCTCCTCTTCACGTATGGCGCCGACTTGCACGTACGAGAAGAAGGCGCCAAGAAGCCGTACTCTGGGTTTGGTATCGCGCATGCCTCGCGCGTCACGAAAAACCCGCAACTCTACGACTTGTTACATCGCGAAGACGCCTTCCGACGGGAGTTTCCGCTGCACTGCATGGCCCGCGCGAACAACGTGAGTGGTGTCCGCACCTGGCTCGAAGCGATGCTGACGACAACGCCAAAAGTCAACGAAAACGACGACGACGGTGACGATGCTGCAGAGTCCATGACGACGATCGACGCCGCCCTATCTGCTCCCGACAAGGTGCGTTGCTTGCTCGAGTCCGAGTGAAATATGACAATAGTAGGATGGTAAAACGGTGCTGATTCATGCGGCCGACGCCATCGACGGCGCCTCGCCGACCCAAGTTCTTGAGATTCTCCTCCCGCACTGCTCGAGTGCATCGCTGATGCTGCAAGACAAGGTACTGCGACACGTCAAGCAGCGTTCGAATCGTGTTACTAGAACGGACGAAATGTGCTCGACTGCCTCTTGGAGAAGGACCTCGTGTGCAAGGCCAACCCCGATGATGCGACCAACGCAGCCATTTTGCACGCAATGCACGTCCTAACACGCGAGAAGATGTTTGGGCTCGACTTGATCGCCAGCGTAAGCTGATATGGATGGCGACGACATGCGTGAAGCTTCGTACGTAGGCGTCTGGACCGCGCCAAGGCACGCAGCCCCTCACGTGTGCTGGCGGCTGCTTGGAGACGAGCCAGATTAGCGACACCAGTTTGGTCAAGCTCGCCAACGAGAGTAAATGGAGTGAGCTCGAGCGTCGGCTCGAAGCTCAAAACGACATCACCAGCATCAACGAGTACGATGACAAGGTCCGTATCTCACAACTCTGTTTCCTGTCCCCACGGACATCGTCGTTAGGGTCACACAGTGCTCTATCATGTGTGCTATGCTGGCCACGAAGCACTTTTGACACTGCTGCTGCAGCAATCCAAGCTGGACGTCAACACGCCGATGCACCGCGTACTACCTCCTCGTCCACGCTCGTATTCGTTCGATATACAGACGTTTTGCTAGTCGAACGAGCGCGCCATCTCGATCGCGAGCTCTCGAGGCCACGACACGTGTGTGCGACTGCTTTTACGAGCCGGCGCGCACCACGGCATTCGACTCGATGCCGTACGTCCTATAGCTCAGTCTTGTACATGCGTCAAGATACTCTGCCATTAAACTAGTCGCAAAGAGCCCTCCAAACATACACGTGTGACGGGGCCAAGCCGAGCCGTACGCTCCTACATGAGAGCTGGCTACTGGAGAAGGCGTACCCCGCTACCATCTCGCCCGTCTTCTCAATGTGCACGAGGCCGAGCGACACATCGAGGTTGTGGCATGATCTCTAGCCGCTTTGTGGAATCCAAGATGTGTAGGCGCTCGAGACACCCCTGCACGTTGCGATCCAGAAAGAGCTACCCAAACACGTCATCGAGGAGTTGCTGGGGCAGCACAACGCAGATGTCGACGCTCAAACCAAGGTCGTCGTCTCAGTTCCCATAGCGGTTGTCTCATCATTGAGGTGTAGACGAGAGAGACGGCGCTCATGACTGCCGCCAAGCAAGGTTGCGTGCGCCTCGCTGAAGTGCTTTTAGCAGCAGACGTTGATATCGACCTCGTCGACGCGGTACGTCGTCACGTATCATGATGTATCTCAACGGTGTCGCATAGAACGACTGCACAGCGCTGCTTCATGCGGCCATTCACGGCCACCTGGCCATCGTCGAGTTGCTGCTTGTGCACCGCGCCGACCTCGATCCCAAGCTGGTACCATCGCTCTTTGTAACCGAACCCTCACCTAACCGCAACAATCTCCAGGACGGAATTCCCATCGTCGAGAGACTGCGCGCTGTTGTATCTGGCGAGATCAGTGACAAACACTGCCAAATCCTTGAGCTTCTTGAGAAGGAAGAGCGAGCTCGGGACAACTCGCAAGAGTTTCGCAACAAGCGCGCGCTGAGCATGATCACAATGACAACCGACGACGTCTTCAAAGATGACAGCTTTCTGCGCGCCATCCGCTGCAACGCGACGCTCGGCCCTACGTTCTTGGACGACTGCGTCGACTTGCGTCGGCACGAAGCCGTCTTTACCAAGGTGCGCTTCATTTCCTCCTCTCGCCTTGGCCATGAGATGCTCAGCCGTCTCTCACCACGTGTAGCTGGACCTCATCTATGGCAAGAGTACCAAAGACAGTCCGCTGCGCGCGGTCTTGACCTTGGACCTCCAAGACCCCAACGAGACATTCGCGACGCAGCAAGCGTGCCTCGAGCATCCCGCTTTTCGCCGCGTCCTCGAGATCAAGTGGATGCTCTTTGGCCGACGTCTCTACCTCCAGCAGCTGCTCATGAACCTGCTCTTGCTGGTGGCCATGACAACGTCGTCTCTACTCTCCAACGATATCACGCCGCAGCCGATCGTCTACACCATTGGTCTTTCAACGCTCATCTTTGTGGCTGTCGGACT